CTGATAGCATTGCAAGTGTGGGAGTCTTGATCTTCCTGAGCTGGATGTGAAGTGTAGAGTGCCCGGAAGGGAGACATCTAAGCAGTTAAGACCAGAAGTGACTGAAGATGAGAAAATGGAGGGATATGCAGTACTGCTCCATTCCTTACGGCTGCTCTCAGTTGAGGGTCTAGAGGAGAAAACAAGAGGAACAGGGATGGGTGTGGCTGAAGTGGCCAGGGGGAGATTTTACAGAGCTGGGGACATGTAAGGCCTGTAATATCAGGGAGGCTTAGTTACTCCAGAAAGGCATTGTGATACAGCTGGGTAACTAGCAGAGCTGCACCCCGGAGAGACCACACGTGCATGGTTTTATCTGTTGTCATTCAAGGGCCCAGGAAATCACAGCCTGCCACCCCTCCCTTGTCCCACTGGTCTTAGTTGCTTTTCATGTGTGCCATGATTTAGTTGATCTCCAAATTGAAGTCTAAAGTGGAACACTTGGACACTGACCTTGGCTCTTGGGCTTCTTTCTGCACCTTACCCCGACAGTCTGAGGCTCCTTGGAATGTATTTGAATTCTCATGAATGACTGTAGCTCTGACCTCTAACAACTCTTCTTTCTCTGTTCTACTGCTGCTCATCTCTTGCCTTGCCTGTCCTCCTCGCTCAGTGCATGATGGGAAAGGTATTAGGTTTACTGCTAATGAGGACATTCGGCCAGAAAAGGGTATGTTCTTTCACATTGTGCAGACATGAATCAAACACTGAATCACCCTGTGCACTACCGTGAGATGTGTGCTGGGGATGGTTGACCCAGCTGTCAACTATAGAGTTCAGGAGCTCTATGCCAAATCTTTGGTGATGTATTCATATAGCCCAGGAAGAACTTCTATTCTTGACCTCTGTCTTGTGCCCCGAATTCCCCACCACAAGCTTCTCTTGGCTAGAGCATTAAGAAATATCATAGTCAGGGTAGCACATATCTATAATCTGAGAAATCAAGAGGCTGAAGCATGAGGCTCCCAAGTTGAAGTCCAGCCTGCACTGTATAAGCAGAGAGAAGGAGGGAGAGGGAATTCTCAGTGCATGTTTCAGTAAGAGCTTGCTTAGCGGTATAGTATAGCACACAGCCTCATTCTTTCTCTCCTGTTGTTTCTTTCCCTGTGACTACTGTGGGTGATTCTTCTTGTTTTAGGGTCAGGTGTAAGGGGGGAGCATTCTAAGCCCTTGTTTTACCTGGGATCTAGTTCTCTAATAGGTGATCTGTCCTCAGGGGCTGGTGTGGACGATCCTGTGGGAGAGGTCTCCATTCAGGTGGACTTATTTACACACCCTGGCACTGGGGAGCATAAGGTCACAGTGAAAGGTAAGTGCTCTTGACTTATGGGTTTGGCTTTTCCTTGACCATGGCCTCACTCCTCCCAGTGCTCCATTCCTCTCAAGGGCAACATGACCTAGGGTTCACGAACTGGGAATGCTGGAGGGATTGCTCACAGATCTCCCTTGTTTGGGTAGTGGTAGCAGCCAATGACCTCAAGTGGCAGACAGCGGGTATGTTCCGGCCTTTTGTGGAAGTGACTATGGTTGGCCCACATCAAAGTGATAAGAAGAGGAAGTTCACAACCAAGTCTAAAAGCAACAACTGGACTCCCAAGTACAATGAGACATTCCACTTGTAAGTTACAGAGTAGGAAACCTATGGCTCTGGGATGAGGGAGTGCTGGGTGGTAAGGGTAAAGAGACTGGGAATAGGCCAATGAGTTAGATGTCAAACTTGGGTGAATTCAGCAGAAAATGTTCATTTCTGGCTTTCTATCCTCTACCCTTTTTGCTCATAGCCTCCTGGGAAATGAAGAGGGCCCAGAGGCCTATGAGTTACAGATATGTGTGAAGGACTACTGCTTTGCCCGGGAGGATCGAGTGATAGGACTGGCAGTGATGCCCCTGAGGGACGTGGCAGCCAAGGGCAGCTGTGCCTGCTGGTGCCCATTGGGCCGGAAGATCCACATGGATGAGACAGGCATGACCATTCTCCGGATTCTGTCTCAGAGGAGCAATGACGAGGTAGCTCGAGAGTTCGTGAAGCTCAAGTCGGAGTCTCGTTCCACAGAGGAAGGGAGTTGAACGTCTTTGGCTTATGTGCCATTCAGACAATGCCAACCGTACAGATCAGTCAGGGAGAGTTAGCTGTGTAGCCAGCTTAGAGTCCTTGTAGTCAAAAGGCTGACTCTCCAAGTTAAGGGTGTTCAAGGAGAATCTTGGGCTTGTAAGACTGTGGCTTTTCAGAGAAAAGTCATGAACCCCAGCCAGCAGGTCTGTGGTGCTAGAGGCTGGGCTGTGGAGTTACTTCTTGGAGAGATTCTTCCATAAATAGAGAGGGACAAACATTTCCAAGAATGTCAACTATTCTTGGTAGACAACTGTCCATTCCACCTCCCACTTCTTCCCTTCTCTAAACCACACTTTGTCCAGTTAGATGCTTACATGCTCATCATTAGGAGATGTTTAGAAGGCCTAGAGCTTATACCTGGTTGACTAGTGACATTCCTGAGCTCTAAGGTCCATTTTGGAGATTGGCCGAGTGGGCATGCACAGACTAGAATTCACTGTCACTTGAGCAGTATAGAGAACAAGGCTTGGGAACTGAACAAGATACCTTCTGCAAAAGGAGTTAGCTAATGTCCTTAGCTCAGACTATCTGTCATGAGTCAAAGAAGGTTCACATGGTGCTTTGGAGTCCTGAGCAGAATATTTCTTTGGAATCCAGGCACCAGGGGTCTCACCTGCCAGGAATGTGCTCCCAACTTCCTTCTTATTCCTGTCAGCAAGGAGTGATGCTTAGAACACACACACACAAACACACACATACGCACACGCACACGCACACACACAGTTCTTACAGACTTGAGGGCTAACTAAGGATCCAAGGATATTTTCTTAAGTAGTCCCTGAACAAAGCCAAAAACCATGGGAAACTGTCAGAAAGAGCTGTCCTCACCTATGACCACAACCTTCTGGCTGTCCTTGAAGAAAACACCTAGTCTTTGGCCTTCCTCCTTCTCTTTGGGATCAGCTGCTGTTCCCTGTGGATTGGTCAAGCATAAAGAAGGAGCTTGGACTCTCATTCTTCTGTATGTGCTGGATGGAGGGGGGCCTCAGCACTCACTGGAAGGCCCCCTTCCTCAGAGACATGACTTGGTCCTTGGATTTCCTGATAGTAAATTGCTAAGGACTCAACATTGTTCATAATACATCGGCCAACACAAGAAACAAACCAAGCATTTTTGCTGTTTTTAATTATTATATGTGCCATTGTTACAAAAATTATAGGCTAGACCATAATAAATTATCTTATAGCAGCTTTGGGAGTCTGGAATTCTGTGAAGATGTGGAAAACTGTAAAAATGACTGTCATATTTTATGACAGCTTTTGGATCCACAGCCGCTGGCGATAGCCCCACTCCCCTATCCCACCCTCTCCCTGTTATACACAAGTGGTGGAACCTAAGTGGTTCTGAATGAGCACTGATTCAGGAGTCATTAGGCTGGATCATTTTGATTTTGACTGAGACAACCAGTCTGATAAACAGTCTTGTGACCTAGGAGATCAGCTTCCTGCAAAAGATCCAGAAGGGAAGGAGATGACATGGACCATAGAAAGTAGCCTGTTCTTCCTCCTTCATTGTCTAGTCACTAGGACAACCTCAGCTGTGAAGCAAGGCAGACATCTGCTGAGGAGAGAAACAGAACGTAGCATGGGGCTGAGGCTGTTGTGGACAGCAAAGGTTAGGATTTTCAGCTCTTTTCACGGAAGATAAGCTGTGAAGAAAAACAAAAGTAATGAGTTCTCCTGGAATCAGAAGATGACACAAGAAATGTAGGCCTCACATACTCCTTCAGACTGCTGTTAACACCTTCTACAAGAAACTAGCCCCATATCTGTTGCTTGCTAAACAGATCCTTTCTGTTCGGTTGCCAAGGCATTTTAAAGCTTCTTCCTTCTTCTTCCCCCACTCTTAAAGCAGCCACCTTCTGTCATTTCTGCATCAAAGCTGTCCCCAGGGACTGGGCAAGGGAGCTCACATTTTGACCCCAACAGTTGGGAGGCCATCCTGGCCCACATAGCATGTCTACAGTTAGACCATGTCTACAAATGAAATGCCCCCTTGAATCTATCGGTTTTCTAATCCCACTACACTAGCTGTTAAGGGTCTTGATTGGGTCCATTTTCTCTGCCAGTTAAAGAATTAAAAGGCAGGAAAACAATCTCGACCATGACAGATTGGTAGCTGTAAAGAAAACCCAAACTGGTCAGAACAGGAGCAGACAGATTCAGCAGTTGAAAGGTCTTTTACCAGGAGTGAGGGAACACTCCCATACACACACACACACAAAGAAAGATCCTCTGCGGAGCAGAAGCCCAACTCCCTCTTTCATCTCCATGCTCTCCAGTTAAAAGCTACTCAGTGGTCACTCATGGTTTCTAAGCTTAAACTTAAGACCCTCCAAGAGGACACACCAACTACATCACACACACACACACTCCTACAGCTATCTATCTGAATCATTTGCCTTTAAAGCTCCCTACATGCTTGTGCACTTATGCCCCTCAGTGCCCTTTTACATTCTTGTGTCCTTCTTGGAATGTCAGGCATGCCTTTCCACTGCATTTATCCTGTCACCTCTGGGAAGACAAACACCGGAACCCAACCAACTCTGGGCAGCACTCTGCATTGTTTTTCTGTCTCCCCTCATGAGCCTCATCAGTGTGTGGTCTGCCCCTGGAAGGATCTGAGGAGTTCATCTCTGGCCTCAGCCATCCCAGGGATTTATCAATGTTTCAAAGCCAGAATTTGATCTGCAGGCTGCTTAAACAGTCACCGGGTGGTGGGGTGAGGTCTGCAGAAAGGGGCGTGGCCGGAGACAGGCTCGTGGGAGGGGGCGGTGGGGGGCGGGGCAGGTCCTGCTCTGGGCGGAAGCTGTGCCTTTGTGGCACCTGCGCAGAAAGATGCGTTAAGATGGAGGTTGCTGGAGTAGAAGGCTGTGAGGAGACGGTAAGCAGGGGGCGCCCGAGGAGAAGTTACGACTTCCTTCCCGAGGAGAACATTGCGTGGAGGCCTTATCTTACTTTAACTACCCGGTGCTTATTCATCTTCCTTCCTTGAGAACTATTGTAATAGTTCCTGAGACTGCCGCTCTGTCAGTACTCCTCAAACATACAGGTTTATCCAGTGCTCCCAAAGGAAATGTGTTTGTCCAGATACTTCCAGAGGAATCTTTAGCCCCCAACCCCATCCAGATAACTGCTGAAAGGCACACATTTGCCCAGTTATGCCATAAAGCAGATTAACCCTCCTGTTCTCCAGCTATGTCATATTCCTGTTAACTATGGGAGTTTGTTCGTTTCCCCAAGGCTGTTAAGACTCCCCCGCATTTGCTATCATTCTCTTCCTTTTAATGTCTACCCGGAAGGAATAATTAAACTTTCTACCACCAACAGACTTTCTAATGTAAATATCTAGCTATTTATTTCTTTATCTATCAAAGGAACTACTAACAGAGGCATTGTTGCTTTGAGACAGGATCTTGCTGGATAGCCCTAACTGGCTTGAAACTTACTGTGCATACCAGACTTGCAAGTTGTAGTGATCCCCCTGGCTCAGCATCCTGGCTGCTAGGATTACAAGTATAAATTACCACACCCAGCAGTAACTAGAACTTTTTCAGCCAGCACTTCTGGCTGATACAGGAGAAGCAAGGGTTCAAGACCAGTCTGGGCTACATGAGATCCCTCTCAAACGTAAAAAACAAAACTACTTTTTTTGTTTGTTTTTGTGTTTTGTTTTTGTTTTTTGAGACAGTGTTTCTCTGTGTAATAGCTCTGGCTATCCTGGAACTTGCTTGGTAGACCAGGCTGGCCTCAGATTCACTGAGATCCACCTGCCTCTGCCTCCCAAGTGCTGGGATTAAAAGCATGCGCGGCCACCGCCCAGTTAAAACACAAAACTTTTTTTTTTTTTAAGTTATAAATATACATTTTCAGGTCCTGAAATTTGAAAGATTTGTTAGTTGAGTTCACATTCCCATGAAGCAACTAGTAAAAGCTAAGAAACAACATTAAAATAATCTTAACAGTTCACCACACATTGCACTTCCTGTTTCTCCTCCTGGGCTGTCCATGTAGTAGGCATTTGAATATATGACCCTTGGTTTAGAACTTAGGGCCATTTTCTTAGCTGGTATTTTAGCTCCTAATGAAAACTGAAATCCAAATGTTATGTGTGTTAAAATTAACTGCGGCTCCTGAAATGCTCTGATTGTACCAGAGGTCATCCTGGGAGTTCGAATCCAGGGTGAAGTCCATACCAAAATAGTTTGAGTAAGAGAACTCAAGCAAAATATCTGAAAGAGCCTTGGCTCGTATGAAGAGGACCCATCCATTCACAATTCAGTTTCTCTTTGGTAAGGTAAAGACAAGGTATTTTCTCTCTTGTGGATACCTGGTCACAAAAGGGCCTGACTCTAATATGTCTCTTTACTAAAGTCTCAAATAGTCTGACTCCAGGCAAGGGCCTAGCCCAATGGAAAAAGGATCAGAAGTGCTGTCCCTTTTACTCAAGAACACACAATGATACCTTTTGCTGGGATAATTGTCTTTAGGCTGAGTCTAATCACACACAGAGCAAAGCAACCCTTTACTAGTAGCTATATTAAGAATTTATACCAAAATCTATGTATAGAAATACAATGTTAAATAATACTACAATAGGATGGGTTGATAGGGTTATTTTTAATTATTTTAAATATATATATGTATATATATATATATAAATATGTTTTGACTACATGTTTGTACACCACATGTGTGGGTGCCCTTGGAGGACAGAATGAAAGACCTGCAGAATGCATGGGCCCTCACGCCCCTACTCAGGAAAGGCGCCCCCCCCCCAAATCACTCACGAGAAGTGGTCTTGATGCAAAAGCATGAGGTCTTTTATATTCCAGTGCACTGGGGTCCACTCCACATGGAGGTAGAGAGGACTGGGAACCCCACAGGATTTAGACAGCTTTTATAGGGTTACAACAAAGCCCTCGCATCATAAACCAATCATCTCATAGCATCCAGAGCGGACCAGTCAGTTTGAACTATCCAAGCTCACGCTTAGCCCAGGAAGTCTGCTTTCGCTAGGGCTTCTGGGTGGTGTGACAAGGCTCATTTCCTGTGTTCACTCACTCACAGGTGCAGTCATAAACAGTCAAGAATATGACCTTTTTGCCTATTCACTGCTAGGGGGCAGGGTCTAGGGAGAGTTAGGCTAAATTTTTCCATCCTTACAAGAAGAGAGCATCAGATCCCCTGGGACTTGAGTTAGTGACAGATGTGAGCTGCCATGTGGGTGCTGGGAATCCAACACCACTGGAAGAGCAGCCAGTGAGTGCTCTTAACCACTGAGCCATCTTTCCAGCCCCTTCATACAGGTTAGAAGACCTGAACTAGTGGATTTTTAAGGACACAGCAAATGTGTGAGATGCCCATTCACTATGAATATTACCCTCATGACCTTCCCAGACCCAGAAGCAAAAGAGCAAAGTTTAGAAAGCAACATAAAATGCAAAGATGGTATTGAAGCAGAAATCAGAAGACATGAACATGGGTCTCTGAGGCATACTGTTGAGGAGTCTGGTCTTTACACAACAGTTAGCTGCAGTTGTTATTTGGACTAGTAATTCCTTCCATATCTAACTCTGGCGGGTTGGAATGGGCTCACATACATAAGAGCCCTTTGAAAACTATGTTTTCTCTATGTAAATAAAGAAGTCTTATGCAGGATCCTCTGGGCTCTGATAAATTAACTTTTAAGGAATTTGTCTTGCTTAGTCTCAGGTCCAAAAAAAAAAAAAAAATATTTGTTGAGAAATAAGAGACAAATAGCCCTTATAAACTTAGGGATGGTCATCAGCATGTTAATTACCTACTAAGTATGTAGTGCAGACTCCACACCATATTGAAGCGGTAGGAAGAACCTAACTTCTAGACTTAACTTTGCTACCGAGTAACTGTGAAAACGACTGTGTGTCAGCCCAGGTAGCCTTATTTGTGAAATAAGGAGGTAAGGTGACCTCGGATATTCTTTCCTGTTGAGCTTCCCTAGCTTAATGGATGTGTTGCTTTCCTAGGATGTCCCTAGTGAAAAAGCTGAACAGTCAGAGACCTGTAAGGACAAGTACCAAAGTCACACTAGATTCAGCACAACAGTAGTTAACAGAGTTAACCCTGTTCAGTAGTCCTTCATGTATGGATATGTGCACCTGAGTGCCAGTGCCCACTGAACCAAAGGTGTCAGATGCCTCTGGAGCTGGAGTACAGGCTGTTGTGAGCTGCCTGTTGTAGGCGCTGGGACTCAAACTCTGACCATGTCAGAGCAGCCAGTGCTCCTAACCAATGTGCCATCTCTCCAGCCCCCGTATATTATCTTCCTAATGTAGCAGTCAGAGTTTTGGCAAAAAGACAGTTGATATAGTCATAGAGATAGTTATAAAGGGACGAGCAAGAAGTGAACACAAGAGGAATAGCAACAGAAACGAGTAGCTCTAAGGCTGAAGGGGATAAAAGGAAAGAACTGTTTATACTAGAGCTACAGCTCTGGGAGAAGGGGCTTCCAGACAAGTGGTAAGAAGCCACTGCAGAAACTTGAGCAAGGTGCAGAGAAACAAATGCCCTGATGTTTCCTGTGTCTCTCAGCTGCCAGCTAGTACTTTTCATTGGTAACACCTTCACGACAGTCTAGAATCCAGAGAGTATGAGGGATATAGTCAGCTTCCCAGACCAGCACAGACGAGTTGGAGGATGGGAGAGGAAATCTTCAACATTTTCTCCAGGAACAAATTGCCATTATAGATGCTTTCCATATAGTGCAGCATCCCTTGAGTTAAGATACCGTAGGTTCAGTCTCCTTCTCTGTGTGAAGATGCCAATGCCTTTGGAGAGTGATTGTGAAGATTCTGTGATGTATATGGAAGTGCCCATTATGGAGCCTTAATACCCTTGAATGCCCACTTTACATTAGGTCCTTTCATACACACCAAAATAGCTTCTTCTCTAGCCAAGGTCTCAAAGTGTAGCTGAACTGACTGACTGAAGGGAGAGAGAAAGTACTTCTGCTGGGGTCTGTTGCACATTATAATGACTTTGGCTTTTACTGGGAGAAAGGTAAGAAGTCATTGAAAAGTTCTACAGTAGCCTCAACTTCTGGCATAGGAGTTTTTAATCATTCACTAGAGAATCGCCTGGTTTTTCATTCAGTGAGCCTTGATCATGTTAAATTATTTAGACCTTGAGTTCCTTTATCGCATATGAGGAAGTATATACGAATGGTCCTCAGCTTTGAATACACATTGGAATCACTTGATATTAGATAATGCTGATGCCTTGACCCACTATTTTGATTTTATTAGTACTTGACTACATGCTATGCTTCGAGTTGTTTTATTTCATCATGAACTGGGTTCTGCATATGCCTGTAATTCTAGCTATTCAGAGGCTGAGGCAGAAGATTGTGAGTTCAAGGCCATGGTGCAGCATAATGAATCCAAGTCTCAAAAACAAAATGAGAGGGGCTGGAGATATCTCTGCAGATAAGTGCACTTGCTGCCCTTCCAGAGGACCCAAGTTGAGTTCCCAGCACCCACAATCTTCTGTGACTCCAGCTTCTTCTGGCCTCCACAGCCACCTGCACTCAAGTACACTTACTCCCACACAAACACAGACACATAATTTTAAAATAAAAAGCAAGATAACTGATGTAAAGCACTGAGTTAGTGTCCATCATACTAAACTTGATGGATGGTAGTTATTATAACATTAGGATGCCAGCTAACTGACAAGCCGATTTTGTTTCATTCTGAGGTGTTGTTTCTCTGAGATGAAACACGTAACTGGTTTTGCCTCTTCATGCATGGTACTGTGTTCCACTCACATGCTTTCAAGACATTTGTTAAAGCATTGAACTGACATCCCTGTAGAAACGCCTTACAGATTGGGATCCATCTTGGC